TCCACCTGAAAACATAATCATTGCAGTCAGTTCCTCCAGATTATCATCCCACCTTCCAATATTATTTCTGTTGGAGCCGCTCAGACCCCCACATACCAGCGTTGCGCCGACAGTAGGGATCCCTTCAACAGCAGCCTCTGGCCGGGTCGCCTTCATCGCGGCAGCTGGTAGGTGTTTTTCATCTAAATAATCCGAACTGCAGGCAGCAGGATAATAAAAGTGAACATATTCTGTCGGCCGGTTTCAGGATTTTAAGGTAATTTATGCGTCAATAAACTGTTTCAGAGGAGTGATCATAGCGCTCTGTGTCATCAGCGCTGTATCTCTCTCCCTGCCAGCTCCCAGATCAGCTTCTCTGATTGGTTGATGCGGCGTGTCGAGCAGCAAAAGTTCAATATTTCCATCTCGAGCAGCAGCGTGTTTGCGGCGCGTCCCGCGCGTCAGATGCTTAAACGCGCCCGACGCGCTGTGCCTGCTGCTCAAAATGCGCCGCAGGACCTTTTGCTGCGCCTTGACGCGCGTCAAGCATTGACTTTGCATGTAAACTCGCTGCTTCTGTTGCGCCTGCTGCGTCCGGTGTGAACGTAGCATTAGAGAACCGGCTTCAGCCCAGTGAGCTTTGATTGTTAAAGCGGGGAAATCAAAAAACAAAACAATCCAAACATAATCTATAATGGAAAGTTTTTTCAAAAGTCACTTTCATTTATGTATTTATCTTAATAAGTTTATTAATAATATTGATATTAATATTTTGTTTTTTAAATAAAACAATGTGTTAGGTCTTGGTTCGATAGGCCATGTTCATTTCAATATGTTTTAATAAGCATTTAACCAGTCCGGCCCTCGGCTTGTAGAAAATTATTTTTTTTCCCCGGTGTTTTTGACTTTGACATCCCTGTCCTGGACAGTTAGGAACAGAACCTCAGTAAAGATACTAACATGATGGAAAAAAACCAAAAGGTCAGAAGGTCAGCGAGCAGTGGAGCAATATGGAAGAAATATGGCGAGGATTTCGCTCCGCTCCAGTTCGCTCCAATGCGCTCACAACTTCAATTAAAAATGTTGGATTATAACATTTGTAAAATAACATTTGATTTGAAATGTGATTTTTTTCGACATGTTGTTGAATTGAAAAACAGTTGCTTGCCAAAAGTTTTTAATCCTTAAAAAATAAATATTGCACAAGCCACAGTCACTGACATAATAGAGCATTATACGCTATTATCTCATTTGCAATGGGATGTGACCTTTTTTAATGTACGGTAGTCTAGTAAAATAAATAAATAGGAAACATGGGCAGCAGGTGTTACGTTCACAGCTGTGAAATAATTTAACAGCTAGGTAAATAAAACAATAAACATGTATCGGTCACATCATTAAATCAAACGCTGTGTGTCCCGGGGCCCTGGCATCATTATGAAGGAAGAATGGCAGAAAATGCCTTCTCCTGAATATTTGATTGAAAATTTTACTGAGGTGGCACGAAAACTAAGGCAGAGCAAATTTTGAGTGGAGCGTCCTGGCGCAGCTTTGATCGACGGAGCAAATGAGCTAACATCCTCCTGAGTGGGAGCGGGAGGTGCTCAGGGACCCAGAGTGGCAGTCCGTGGGAGTGGCGGATCGAACTTACAACCTCAGGATTCAAAGCTCTATGCCCTAACCACCAGGCCGCCACTCCCCTCTTTGAAGGAAGAGTCCACTGTATCCTAGGTAGCTTTGGTTTTCCCAGGATTCATTGCGAGACCAAGCAAGCCGGCTGCTCCGTGCTCAGAGGAAAAATGTACTTGGCGCCTAACAGTGGTGAATATTGGAAGCGTAGTTTAATATATAATCCAAGTATATGAATAGTTCTGTCTGAAATTC